AGTTTTAAGTAGTTATTGGATGAAATGATATGTCATTTGTTCAATTAATAAATAGCTAGTGAATGTTGTTGTCAGACTCTGGCAAATAGATTTTAACTCACAGTGACCCCATGTAACAGAGTAGAACTGCCTTAGAGGATTTTTTTTAGGCAGAAATCTTTATGGAAGAAGATTGCCTGTCAAGTTTTCCCAGGGAGCCCCCAAGGTAGTTCAAGCCTCCAATATTTTGGTTAGCTGCAAAGTACTTAACCATTAGAGCCACTAGGGCTCCTTAATTAATGAATATCAAAAAAACAAAAATACTTCCATCAAGTCTACTCTGACTCATAGTGACCCTTTCTAGGGTTTCTGAAGCTGTAGATCTTTTTTTTTTTTTAATGTTTTATTGTGACGTATGTGATAGTTTACATGGGAGAACATTAGTTTTACATTCATCCTATCGTATAGCGTTTCATTGCCATGGTTACAGTCCCCTCTATGTATCATCAACCAACCAAAGGGTATACCCTGCAAGCCTGCCCCTGGTGTCAGCACATAGCCCCTCTCCCTCTCTGAGTCTACAGTCCCCAGCAGCTCCATCTCTCCACGTCATCATCTCTGCCTCCATCTCCGGCCTCATTGCTTCTCTGGGTAGGGTCCCACTCTCCGCTCTTCTCCGCTCCTAGACTGCAAAGTCAATCCCTCCCCTCCTTTTGCTACAAAATGTCTACCTTTACATTTCCAACCCTCACACTCAGTCCTGATAACAATTATTCACTACTGTATCACAAGAGACCTATCCACATCTCCTTTCATCAGTCCCGCCTAGACAGATTGGATACTACTCAGTGGAGATTCTACTTTCCTCTGAACCCACTGGATCTAGGCTCCCTCTTGAAAGCTTGTAAGGCTGAAGCTGTAAATCTTAACAGGAGCAGAAATCCTCATCTTTCTCCTATGGAATGTCTGGTGGGTTTGAACTGTTAACCTTGCAGTTAGCAGTCCAGTGCTTATCCTACAGCTTCACCAGGGCTGCTTTAATTAATTAGGAAATTTAATTAATGAATTATTGTTGTTAAGTGCCATCAAGTCGGTTCTAACCCATAACAACCCTGTATACAATTTCCGAGGAGCAACTGGTGGTTTTGAACTTCTGACATTGCAGTTAGCAATCTAGTGCTTATTCTATAGCATCACACTAGGACTCCAAGGAATGAATACCTGTTCTAAATTGTGGTGTGTCCTGGTGACTTTTTGACGTTTTCACATATCTGCTAATTGTTTATAGATTTCCTTATGGAGCTAAGATTGTTACACCTTAGAGCTTTAAAGAGTCACAACTACGCTCCCTCCCTGCATGTTTTGGGAGAACAACTGTTCAACTGTATCTCCTGGGTTTTTACAACGTCTCATATCCACGTGTTTTTTTGGTTTGGAAATAGTGATTTTGCATGAAGGCTTTCCATCTTCTTTCCCATCCTCCTCTTCTTCCTGCTCAGTTAAAAGTCTTGCCTACAGTTGATGGGCATTTGATGGACACAGAGGTCAACACAGTCTCCTCTTGTTGGTGAAGAGGAATGGTTACTGTAGGTTTGAGTCACTCACTTTAGCCCTCAGGTTTCTACAGTTCCTGGAGTTAAGGTATGATGTGCTTTGATCCCAGCACCGCTCCAGAAATTATAAGCTATAATGAAATTTACAAAAATGTCTCAAAATAGACTTAGTTGAAATATACTTGCTAAAAAGAACAAAATGATTGTATTTTGTATTCATTCTAACGACATTTCAAAGGTAATTCTTCTACTAGAAGAGTGTAATAAAACACAGGGACAGACATTTACACAGTTATGTTTGGTGAACATTATTCATAATAACAAAAACATGGGAACAGCCTAAGTGCCCATCAACAGATGAATACATAAACAAAGTGTGGTATATTAAAAAAATATGAATAGTAATGATCAGTCCTTGTGTTAGGCTGGGCTTTCTAGAGAAGCAAAACCAGTGTGTGTGGGGGGGTGAGGGTGGATATATGGAGAGAAGTTTCTTATCATGGAAGTGGCTGACCATTGTAGAGTCCCCCGTCCCCAGTGGAAGAGAGACAAAGAGTCCCTCCCTTGTGTCCATTATATTGGGAGCAGGCTACTGCCCCAAGGAAGCATCCCTTCAACTGATTGCTCATAACCAATCATCATAAAGCTAATTATGCTTGTATTAGGTTTCATCACCATGGGAGTAAGCCCAGTTCAACTGCTAAACATCTGGAAGTGCTGGGCTACTCAAGTTGACAAAGAACTCTAACCATTACAGTCCAGCCGTGTCAACTTGAAGCCTATAAACTATATGCATGTTGTTGTTGTTGTTAAGTGCCTTCGAGTCGGTTCCGACCCATAGCGACCCTGTACAGGGTTTCCAAGGGTGTAAATCCTTACAGGAGTAGAAAGCCTCATCTTTCTCCCGCAGAGCAGCTGGTAGTTTTGAACTGCTGACCTTATGGTTCGCAGCCCGATTCGTAACCACTACGCTACCAGAGCTCCTTAAACTATATGCATAATCTCTAAATAAAGAAAATTGTAAAGTAATACTTGCACCTAACATGATACAACTAAAACATGTACAATTGACAATGCACCGGCCCCATTTACATCTTAAATGTCACATATCAACCAAGTATTTAATGCACACATACAAAACAGAACAATATATATATATATTCATTTAAATATCCAAAGGGCACATTCTGCAAGTCCACCTCCTGCCCATAGGCACACAGCCTTACTCAGTCCCTGGGCCTAGAGTCCATAGTTGCTCTGTCTTTCCATCCCACTGCCTCTGCAGCCATCTCTGCTGCTATCACTGCTTTCCTAGGCAGGGATCCTACACTCCACTCATGCTCTTCCTTGATGGTCCTAGGATCACCTGTTCCTGAAATGAAAGATAACTACTACCTCCTTTTAGTTATACATCTTCTACAGTTATAGTTTTGATTATCACAACTAATCCTGTTAACAATTGTTGTTGTTATTAAGTGCCGTCGAGTTGGATCCTACCCATAGCGACCCTGAACAGGGTTTCCAAGGCTGTAAATCTTTACGGGAGCAGAAAGCCTCATCTTTCTCCGGGGAACAGCTGGTAGTTTCGAACTGCTGACTCTGAGGTAGGCAGCCCGATTTGTAACCAACAATTGTTGTTGTTGTTGTTAATTACCGTGGAGTTGGTTCCGACTCACAGTGACCCTGCACAGAGTTTCTGAGGCTGTAAATCTTTACGGGAGCAGAAAGCCTCATCTTTCTCCGGGGAACAGCTGGTAGTTTCGAACTGCTGACTCTGAGGTAGGCAGCCCGATTTGTAACCAACAATTGTTGTTGTTGTTGTTAATTACCGTGGAGTTGGTTCCGACTCACAGTGACCCTGCACAGAGTTTCTGAGGCTGTAAATCTTTACGGGAGCAGAACGCCTCATCTTTCTCCCACAGAATGGCTGGTAGTTTCGAACTGCCGACCTTGAGGTTAGCAGCCCGATTCGTAACCAACAATTACTCACAATTAAATCATAAAATCTTACTACCATCATCCCCTAGACCCCTTTCACCCCTTTCTGTTCTTCCAGCAGTTCTGGGTTGGTTTGCATGTGTTTTCAAATGCAAATGTCCCAACTCTGAAGGTTCTAGGTGGGGCTCTGGAGTCCACCTAAAGCCCCATACTCTACAAAGGCTTAAAGCAAGAAGCCATTTTTTCCTGGTAAATTCTAACTCCCCTTTTAGCAAATCCAATTAAGTATAGGCTGAAGGCCGGATTACAAACTCTATAATTATAGTTTTCAATATTCATCTCTATCACACGTGTATGTCTATTTTACAATAATAGACAGGAGAAGGTCAATATCCAAAAAGCAGTCAAACACATGAATCTTATAAAAAACACAAGTTCAATCTTTTCCTCTATCTCGGACTAACCCCATTCATATGTATATGGCCTTGGGCCTCTGGTCCAGTGGATTCCAGTAGGCCCAGGCCCTGTATCAGCCAGTCTTTCTAACCTGTGTGTCATCAGCTCCAGGCAACTCCCTAAGCTTCTGCTCTCTCTTCCACGTAGTCTTTGATCTCCTCGCCCTTCCTTGTATTACAAAACTTCATGATTCCATGGGTTTTGAGCTACTGTAATGAATCCTGCTTACAATGCCAACTGCTTAAACCAAGTGTGGACACTTGCTCATACTCCACAAGACGGAAATAGGACCAAACTCAAAATCAGCCCAAGGCCAATTCATATGAAGTGAAGGTCAGACATGCCTCCAACTTTATCAGTGACTTTAAAGTTAGTCAGACTTGAGAACCAATTTAGAAAACTCATCCTTATGATTTTGTTTCTCTGGAAACCTACTCTCTCAGTACTACATATCTTAGACTGGGTTTTCTAGAGAAGCAAAACCAGTGAAACAAAATGATGCCTTTGAGTTGTGGTGTTG